AAATCTGTCAAGATGTTGAATAATGGGTCTGACACATTAGATGAAATTCTTCAAGCATGAAGAGTGATAGGATACAAGAGTGGTCTAGGGTTTAATGAGAAAAAGTAACCAAATTCAGAAGAATCTTCATTAGAGTCTAAACCAAGGATGTCAAATCAAATGTCTAAACCTCATGGTAAGAAAGGACATCATGGAAAACATCATGGCAAGAAAAAGTTTAATCACACCAGAGGGAATTCCCATCCCTGGAGATGTCATCATTATGGAAGGCTCGGTCATATAATGCCTTTCTATTTCAATTTGTATGGATACCCTAAAACTACTCCTCTTCCCAAAACTGATCAAAATTCCCAAAATAGCAAAAAGAAGAAACAGTGGGTTCCCAAGTCTAATGTTGCTAGTTTCGTAGATCATACCTCTCTCAGAGTATCAGCTAAAGATGAGTGGTACTTTGACAGTGGTTGTTCTAGACACATGACATGTGTCAAGAATCTGTTGACAGATATCAAATCTCACTCCACCAGTTATGTGACTTTTGGTAACGGAGCCAAAGGTGAAATCAAAGGAGTTGGCAAGCTGGAATGTTCAGGAGTTCCCAAGCTTTAAGATATGTTACTTGTTAAAGGGTTAACAGCTAACCATATAAGTATAAGCCAATTGTATGATCAAGGATTCAAAGTTAACTTCACTAAGGAAGAATGTCTTATTTGCAATGAAAAGAATGAAGTTTTTATGAAAGGAATCAGATCTAAAGACAACTGTTACTTATAGGTTCCCCAAGAGTTGAACTTCTCCTCAACATGTGTTCTGGTCAAAGAAAATTAAGTTAAACTATGGCATCAAAAATTGGGACAATTGCATCTAAAAGGAATGAACAGAATTATATCTGAAGAAGCTGTGAGAGGGATTCCTAAGCTCAAGATAGAAGAAGGAAGAGTATATGGTGACTGCCAGATTGGAAAGCAAACTAAGATGTCCCATCAGAAGATCCAACATCTTACTACATCAATAGTTTTGGAACTTATTCACATGGATTTGATAGGACCTATGTAGATTGAAAGTCTTGATGGAAAGAAGTATGCCTATGTTGTCGTAGATGACTTCTCTAGGTACACATAGATAAGCTTTATTAGAGAAAAATCAGAAACTTTTGAAGTATTTAAAGATCTCTGTCAAAAACTTCAAAGGGAAAAAGATAGTCATGTCATTAGAATCAGAAGTGATCATGGAAAGGAATTTGAGAAAAATAAATTTGTTGGCTTTTGTTCTTCTGAAGGAATCAGTCATGAATTTTCTTCTCCCATTACTCCTCAACAAAATGGGATTGTGGAACGTAAAAACAAAACTCTTCAATAATCTGCCAAAGCTATGATTCATGCTAAGAAGTTACCCTACCACTCTTGGGCTGAAGCTGTGAATACTGCATGTTATATCCATAACAGAGTTACTCTAAGGAAAGGCACTTCAACCACCTTGTATGAAATATGGAGGGGAAGAAAACCAACTGTCAAATACTTTCATGTTTTTGGAAGTAAATGTTACATCTTAGCTGATCGTGAACAAAGGAGGAAGATGGATCCCAAGAGTAATGAAGGAATATTCATGGGTTAATCTACAAATAGAATATCTTACAGAGTCTTTAACTCCAGAACCAAAGTTATGATGGAGTCTATAAATGTTATTATTGATGATAGAGGATGGAATGATGAAGAAGATGTCTTAGAAGATGTTGGAACATCTTTGTTTGATATTCCAACAGAATCAAATGACAGAAGTATTGATTCTAATCCACCTCAAGAAGATCCTGAGCCTAGTCATCTCAATAAAGGGCCTTCAATTAGAACCCATAGAGATCATCCTAAGGAGCTTATCATAGGAGATCTAAATAAAGGAGTTACTACCAGATCAAGAGAAGGGATATCAAGCTCTTGCTTTGTGTCAAAAATTGAGCCTAAGAATGTCAAAGAGGCCCTAACTAATGAGTTTTGGATTAATGCTATGAAGGAAGAGCTAGAATAATTCAGTAGAAATGAATTTTGGAATCTAGTTCCAAGACCTGAAGGGACAAATATGATTGGCACTAAATGGATATACAAGAATAAATCTGATGAAAAAGGAGTGGTCACTAGAAATAAGGAAAGGTTAGTTGCACAAGGATACACTCAAATTGAAGGAGTAAACTTTAATGAAACCTTTGCTCTTGTGGCCAGACTTGAATCAATCAGACTACTCTTGGGAATTGCACGCATACTGAAATTTAAATTGTTTCAAATGGATGTAAAGAGTGCATTCTTAAATGGCTATATAAATGAAGAAGTTTATGTGGAACAACCTAAGGGATTTATTGATCCAAGTTTTCCTAAACATGTGTACAAACTAAAGAAAGCTATGTATGGATTAAAGCAGGCTCCAAGAGCTTGGTATGAGATATTGACAGAATTTCTTGGTGAGAATGGATATAGGAAATGTGGCATAGACAAAACTCTTTTTGTTAAGGAAGAAGAAAGGAAGATCATGATTGCACAGATTTATGTTGATGATATTGTGTTTGATGGAATGTCAAATGATATGGTTCAACATTTTGTCAAGCAAATGCAGTCAGAATTTGAGATGAGCCTTGTTGGTGAATTAACCTATTTTCTTGGTCTGCAAGTTAAACAAATGGAAGATTCCATATTCTTATCTCGGAGCAACTATGCTAAGAACATAGTAAAGAAATTTGGGATGGAAAATTCCAGTCACGAAAGAACTCCTGCCCCCACACATCTGAAGTTGTCTAAAGATGAAAAAGGAGTAAGTATGGATCAAAGTCTTTACAAAAGTATGATAGGCAGTCTTCTATATCTCACAGCTAGCAGACCTGACATTGCCTTTGTTGTAGGGGTGTATGCTAGATATCAAGTTGATCCCAAAGTTAGCCATGCCAACCATGTGAAGAGAATTCTTAAATATGTGAATGGGACAAGTGACTATGGTATGCTATACTCTCATGGATCTATTTCTTCATTAATTGGTTATTGTGATGCCGATTGGGCAGGAAGTGCTGATGATAGAAAAAGTACATCAGGAGGATGCTTCTTTCTGGGAAATAATATCATATCTTGGTTCAGTAAGAAGCAAAATTGTGTGTCTTTGTCCACTATTGAGGCTGAGTATATTGTTACAGGAAGCAGTTGTTCTCAATTGGCTTGGATGAAACAAATGTTAACAGAATATAATGTCAAACAAGATGTCATGACATTATTCTGTGACAATCTAAGTTCCATAAACATATCAAAAAATCCTATTCAACATAGCAGGACCAAACATATTGATATTCATCATCACTTCATAAGAGAGCTTGTTGATGAAAAGATTGTTGCCTTAGAACATGTAGCCACTGAATTGCAACTGACTGACATTTTCACTAAGGCTTTGGATGCTAATCAGTTTGAGAACTTAAGAGGAAAATTAGGGATTTTCCTATATGAGGGTTTGTAGCAATTAAAGGCATGTGGAATATTATTAAAGTGATATTATATTATTTATGTTTCCAACAAATCAAATTTAGAAAGAAATCATTACAAGACTGTCTCAATTTGTTTTCCACACGCTACAAAATCACATCTCTCTACTTTCACAAACTCTTCATTCTCCTCTATAGAAAATAAACTCTTGTCATTCTTCATCTCTTTGCTCAAAATTCTTCAAAGATGTCTCAACATCATACATCGTCTTCCTTAAAATATGTCAACCTCCCTGAGAAACTCTCTCTTGACAGAGTACTTGACGTTACTCCTCTAAAAACTATCCCACCGCTTGAGAAGAAGGTCAAGAAACCCAGATCATCACCTTCAAAGAAATCTAAAGACGATAAAGGTAATACTTCTACTGCTACTGATGAAGAGATTGTTAATGTTTATAGAAGCATTAGAAGACTAGTAGATAGAGTGTTAAATGAAGGTTTTGTTATGCCTAGAATTTATACCCCTCTTGCTCGTATACCTGCTCCAGCTGAAAAAATAAATGACCCTAAAAGTTTTTTTGAATCATCCATCTCCAAGAAAGATGCTGCTGAAAGCAAACTTGATAAGCTTGTTGCTTCTGCTCTAAAGGAAGTGGAAGAGGATGTTGAACAAGATGTTGAGAAGAACTCTCCTACTAAGGAAGATGCTGCTTGATCCAAGGTTGCAAAAGGTTAAAATGTTTATAATGTGGTTAATGTAGATGAGTTGTCTGACAATGAGCTTATTACTAATGTGGTTCCTGGAATTGCAAAAAGGCTCAAATCCAGGAAAGTGAAGGATGTAAGTGTCACACCCTCTTCCAAGACTGCCAAGAAGAAAATCATGTATGGTCCCGCAAATCCCGGAAGTAAAGTGGAAATTTGCAGGAATCAAAAGTTGATTCTCACATACGACATCACTATTCCGCTATGGGATCAGAAATGCTTGGTGAAATGGTATAGTAGAGTCTTGATGCGGCGTAGCAAATCTCTAGTGTTGCGACGCGGGGTGAACCTGTAAGATTAACACTACAACGTCCAAATCAGAAAGGGAATGAAGAGTAAATGTGAGTTAAGGTTCAAAACACACCTCAATATTTATGTGAAATGCCTTATATATGAGGGCGGTTATGGATATCTCTTCCTTCTCGGCATGGAATGTGGGAGCCCGTCTAATGACATCTAATAGGGTGGATCCAATGTGGAGCTCTAGAGTAGAATTGCATTGTACCTTCAACGCCTTTATAGAGTGACTTAGGACTGATGATTGGACTCCCCCTTTTGGACCTATGTCCGGCCTAGTACACATTCAAAGAAAGAAAGAAATAAGTGACTCAAATATAAAACCATATAAGTGACTTAAGTGCATTGAGATATTATTGTGTTACTGATTTCTACCAATTATTCATTAATTGAACTTTACAACATGATGATCTCACTTTTATAGTTATGCTTAACTTATTCTCCATTCATCACTTTTCTGTTGTAAACTGAATGAACTAAGATAATTCCAAACATGGCACAAGTGAAGAACAAGTAAGTGATTTCGAAGGACTATGTATATGGTTTTCCTAAAGAATCAAACATGAACATAGTTGACAACACCATAACTCTCAAGCTTCCAGAAGGTTCTAATGATGTTCTTCTCAAAAATATCTACTTGTCTTATGATCCATACATGCGGAATCTCATGAACAAATAACAAAGAACTCCTAGTACTTTTTCCTACACCCCTCAATTGGTAAAGTTGTTGCTTTTGTGGATAACCCTTTTATTAGCAAAACATTAATTTTAGAAAATTGTATGATAGTTTGTGATTATTTATTGAGTAATTACAGGTAATAGCTGGTTTTGGAGTGTCTATAGTCCTTGAATCTGGAAACCCTGATTTCAAGAAAGGTGATTTAGTGTGGGGATTCTCTAAATGGGAAGAGAATAGTTTAGTCCCTTCAACTCAGATACTTTTCAAAATTGAGCACACTGTTGTTCCACTTTCCTACTATACCGGAATTCTTGGTATGTATTAAACAATTTCAATTTATATTAATGTTGGTCGGGTAGTTTTTTGTCATTCTGTTGTGCCTCTTTGACATATGTGTGTTTTTCTCTGAGAGCAGGTATGACAGGAATAACTGCTTATGGCGGTTTCTTTGAACTAGGCACTCCTAAGAAAGGAGAGAATGTTTTTGTTTCGGCTGCATCTGGTGTAGTTGGGACAACTTGTCGAACAATTCGCTAAATTGACCGGTTGTTATGTAGTTGGAAGTGCTGGAAGTAAGGAGGAGGTATTCTTGTAATTGTTTAAGTGTTATGTTCTTTCATAAATCATCATCACCTATGAGAGTTGAGTAGTTGAATGCAAATTTTTTACAATCAGGTGGATCTGTTAAAGAACAAATTTGGATTTGAAGAAGGTTTCAATTACAGGGAAGAGCCAGACCTCAATGCAGCTTTAAAAAGGTTTGTATTATGTACTTAACTGTTTGGTAATAGAAAGTTTTAGATGTTAATTTTTTATGTATTCAATATTGACTGTTAGCTAATGTATGGCAAATACAAATCAGGTAATTTCCTGAAGGTGTTGATATTTACTTTGAGAATGTTGGAGGAAAGACACTTGATGTTGTACTATTGAATATGAGAGTCCATGGCCGCATACCTGCATGTGGAATGATATCACAGTACAATCTTACTCAACCTGAAGGTGTAATGAATTTGGCAAATCTTGTATATAAGTGGATTCAAATGGAAGGTTTTAACAGTGGTGATTTCTTTCACCTCATATCATACATTCTCCTGTGAGTTTGTAACCTCACTTCTTTCACCTTTTCTGCACCACCAAAAGACTTCTAAAGAACCTCTCAAACTTATTTTGCAGATTCTGAATCACTCACTTTTTAAAAAATTTCTGGACTCAGACATTGATGAATTATAAAGAGTGCTTTATAATTCAGCTTCTCAGATTCTGTGTGTTTCTTCTTTTCTTCTTCTGAAGCGTTTTCTCCAAGCGCTTCCAATCCATCCTTTACAAGATCCTAAAGACCTTGACACCTGAATAAAACTTTCATTTGTTTGCACCAATTATCATAGTTGTCTACTTTCAGAATTGGTAGAGTTGCTGGATAATTTGAATTCCCATAACTCGCCATCGTGAATTCTTTTTCTTCCTCAATCGTTCTTGATTGATACTTCCCTTGAATCGATCAACCGAGCTCTTGATACTAGATGTTAGAAATCCACCAAAATATCTATGATGAATTTACCAATCTTGATGAACAAGATTGATATCACCATACAATGATAATGAATTATGAGAAAAGAAGAAAAATAGAAAGAAGACAATTATTTTCTGCAGAGTTTCACTCTGCCCATAAACTGTGGAAAATTTATTAATCACTTGCAACTGTAAATTCTGTGATTACAATGAATTGACTTAATTACAAAATTAGGGGTTACTCCCTTTATTTATAGATTTAGATTAGCTTGCTCCCTAAGCCAAAGCCCAAAACTATAAAATCCCAAAATACCTATTTTGGAACTAAATCAAATCTATCTATTTTAGATCTAAATCAAATCTATCTAAATCTAAAACAAAACAAATCTATGTGTAGCTTGCTTCGATCCATAAGCTCTTCGACTGGGAAACCTCCCTTCGACACACACATTATTTCGACACAATCGAATTATAATTTAATACACCACTTAATTCATTGTGTCTAAACTATCTATATTCAACATGGTTCTTAGTCTTCTGAATACTTCAACTTGCATTCCCTTCTTCATGATGTCTGTAATCTGATTCTCAGTTCTGCAGTGTTCCAAATTCATCTTCCCATCTGCTATCTGCTCTCGAAGATAGTGGAACCTCATTTCAATGTTCTTGCTTCGACCATGTGCTATCGGGTTCTTCGCCAGATTGATAGCTGACATGTTGTCGATCTTCATGGTAATTACTCCATGATCTTTCCATGTTATATCTTCGACCAAGTTCACCATCCAAGTTTCTTTACATGCACAAAGAGAAGTAGCTATTTATTCTGCTTCACATGATGATAATGTCACTACTGGTTCCTTTCTTGAACTCCAAGCAACTGATGCACCACCTAACATAAACACATATCCTGCTGTTGATTTTCGATCTTCAGCATCACTACACCAACTCGAATCAGTGTATCCCACTAACTTGCATTTTTTTCCTTTATCAACTGTAGGAAACAAAATGTCATAGTCGAGAGTTCCTTTGAGATACCTTAGTATCCTCTTCACCGCTGCTAGATGTGATACCATTGGCTTCTACATGAATCTACTTACCATACCTACACTATATGCTAAGTCAGGCCTTGTATGACAAAGGTATCTCAATGTCCCAATAAGTCTTCTGTATTGGGTTGGGTCGATATCATCTTCATCTGCATCTTTCGACAATTGCAGTCTTAGTTATGTAGGTGTCGAAGTTGAGTTACTTTCTTCCATCTCAAATATCTTGAGAATTTCTCCTGCATATCTTCTTTGATGCATCATCAAACCTCTACTGCTCTTGTAGAATTCAGTGCCAAGGAAATATGAAATCTCACCCAGATCAGACATTTCGAATTCCTTGCTGAGATCACCTTTGAAGTCTTCGATCTCACTTTTGCAGCTACTTGTTATCAACAAACCATTGACATAGAGACATAGTATAATAAATTCACTATTACTTCTTCTTACATATACTCCATGTTCAGTTGTGCACTTCACAAATTCCTTCTCCCTTAGGAAACTATCAATTTTCTTATTCCAAGCTCTTGGAGCTTATTTCAATCCGTACATGGCTTTATGCAGCCTGTACACCTTTCTCTCTTTGTCATGTTTCACAAACCCAACTGGTTGTTTAACATAAACTTCTTCGTCGAAGGGTCCATTCAGGAATTTACACTTCATGTCCATCTGACATATGTGCCGTCTATTTATTTCTACTAGACCAACAACCAACCTAATTGTTTCGATTCTAGAAACAGGTGTAAAAACTTCATTGAATTCTATTCCTTCTTTCTGTGGAAATACTTTCGCCAAAAGCCTTGCTTTGTGTCGAGTTACTTCCCCTTTGGAATTCATCTTCACTTTGTATACCCACTTGACATTAATTGCCTTCTTTCCTTGAGGAAATTCGAAAAGTGACCAAGTGTTGTTGTCTTCGATAGACTTTACTTCTTCATTCATTGCTTTCACCCACTTCGAATCCTTCAATAATTCAACTGCATTGACAGGTTCGACATCTGCATAGAAAACATAATGTACCAACTCACCTTCATTATCTATCACATCATCTAATGTAATCACACAATCTTGCAATCTTGCAGGCATGCGTCTTGTTCTTTGAGGTCTGCTTGTACTTGGTTGATCTATAACTGCTGGTTCCTCTTGTCGAACTTCTCTTTCGACTTGAGTTTCTAGTTCTTCAAATAGGATTCCCACTGAATCTTTCTTGACATTTTCAGTCCAATCCCATTATTTAAGCTCATCTATGATCATGTCCCTACTGATCACAATCTTCTTGTTCACTGGATCGAACAACTTGTAACCTCCTGCCGAATGATATCCAACTAGAATCATTTGACTTAACTTGTCATCAAGTTTTCTTCTCAACTGATCTGGCACATGTCTATGTGCAATAGATCCAAATACCTTCAGATGACTCAAGCTAGGCTTCACACTAGACCAATATTCTTCTGGAGTAATTCCTTCTAGCTTCTTCGTTAAACATCTGTTCTGAATGTATGTTGCATTCGACACCACTTCACCCTAAAACTCTTTAGGTAAATTTTTTCCTTTCAACATACTTCTCACCATATTCATGATGGTTCAATTCTTCCTTTCTGCAGTTCCATTATACTGTGGAGTATAGGGTAGCACTACATCATGCATAATCCCTTCCTTTTCACATAACTTGTCGAAGTCTTTCAACACATACTCTCCACCACCATCAGTTCTCAAAACTTTGAGTTTTTGACCACTTTGCGTTTCGACCATTGACTTAAACTTGGCAAATACCTCGATCACTTCACTTTTCTTCTTGATCAAGTAAGTCCACATCTTTCGAATGAAATCATCTATGAATGTAACAAAGTATTTGTTACCTCCCATCGAATCCACCTAGATTGGTCCACATACATCAGAGTATATGACTTCAAGAATAACCTTCGACCTGCTTCATGCATCCTTGCTGAAGCTATTATTGTGTTGCTTCGCCTGCACACATTCGTCACATACCTCGTTTGGAATGTCGATTTATGGAAATCCTGAAACTAGATTTCTTCTCTTCAAATCTCAGATGTCTCTGAAGTTGAGATGGCCTATTCGATAATGCCATATCCATTCATCTCTGCTAGCTGCAGTCGAAAGGCACTTGTGCTCCATCACATTTAGTTCGATCTTGAAGGTTCTATTCTGAGACATAGGAGCCTTCAAGATTAATCTTCCATTTGCATTGACGACTCTCATCATCTTATCTTTGATCGACACTTTATAATTATTTTCGACCAACTGCCCTATACTGAGCAAATTTCTCTTCATGCCTGGTATGTACAACACATTTGAAATTACTGACCTCTTGCCATCTTTCATCATAATCATAACATCGCCAATACATTCAGCTGCTAGGGTATTGTCATTTGCGAATTTTACCATATTTTTCATTGAGGGCTTTATGTTGACAAACCGGTCTTTCCTTCCAGACATATGTGATGAGCATCCTGAATCCAAGTACCATTGTTCCTTGAATCTATCTTTATCTCTTGTTGTGACCATCAACATCATCTCTTCTTCTTCATGTTTTGCAAATTTTGCATCACTTTCTTGATTCTTTCGCTTTTTGGACAATCACTCAAATAGTGACCATACTTCTGACAATTGTAACATTGAATGTGACTCTTGTCAGGTTTTCGACCACCACCTCTTACTCAATTTGCAACACCACCTCTTTGGTTGCCTTGGTATGGTCTTCTCTAATTCGACATGTTTCCTTCGTTCTGGTTTCCTCTACCAGTCGAATTGTTGTAGCCTCCTATACCTCTGTCGAACCATTTTCCTTTGCCTTTGGTTTCTTTTGCTGAATGTGTCTGCAAAGCCACATCACTCTTCGACTTTCCTGCAGCTCTTTTGGTCATTATTTGTTCATGAGATTCAAGCGTCCCTTAAAGCTCTTCCTTTGTCAATTTCGGAAAGTCTTTCCCCTCTGTCGAACCACTTTGGGCGCGGGTTGGTACCCACTTGAGGTAAGGCTCAAGAGGGATGGAATTCTTGTGTCCCAAGGTCTTACTGTCCACCTTGTTGGGCATCCTCCAAGCTCGGATGAACCTTTGTCGAAGTCCTTGATCGTCGTTGTCGAAGTCAAAAACCAAGTCTGGGATCAGCATGTCATATGGACCATCCCTTCGGGCATACCCAAACTGTCTCAGAGCCAAGCAAGGGTTGTAGGTGATGCCTCCCCTAATGCCAAGTAGTGGGACATTAGGGAATTCCCCACAACGATAAATGATGATAACATTTTCTCTGGATCGAGAACACCAATGAACATCTGAATGTGTAAGAGTCATCAATCGTTGTGACCACCTCAAACCTTGCTCATTCTTCAAAACTGATTGGGGAAGATGAGAAATAAACCATCTTGCCAGTAGAGGAGTACAGCATATGAGAACACCTCTTTTCCTCATTGTTCGAGTGTGAAATGAGTGGAGGATATCCCCAAGTGTTGTACCCCAAAATTTACCCTCTCATTTTATCAACATTTCTCATCACAAGGCTCTTTGAACTCAAGACCAAGC